TGTGCCCCCCCCCCCCCCCCCCACACAGAGGCCATGTCCATCTGAGCGCACAATTTTCTTCCTGATCCGAAGCAAGACCCTTTAGCTAGACCCTCCAGGGCTGAGTCCCAGCAGGAGCATGGGACCAGCCCAGTCCCAATCAGAGTCCTAGAGAAATCAAGGCGACCGGATTAAAAAGCCAAGGCCCCGGGGGATATTCCCTGCTGGGTGTAGCTAGGAGCACTCAGAGCACGCATTATCCGCCCCCCACCCCCACCCCGGCTTGCGGCTTGGCTTTTCAATCTCTAGAGGTCAGTCCTCTTGGGTTAAATCCCCCCCGCCACCATTTTCCATGGAGGGAAGACTGGAGAGCAGCAGCGCCTTTTAACCCTCCCTGTTCCTAGAACAAGTCCCACGATGCAGAGGCGGACGGGCAGCAAAGGCCAGCAGAGCACCAGATGCCGTGGCTTGCGGCTGTCATCTGGGCTGAGACGCAGAAGGGAAGGACACGAGATCTCGATGAGGGCTGTCGGCCACCGAGACCGATGGGCCTTGAATGGGGTGGATCTAGGAGTTGGAAAAGGTCCTGCGGTGCAGATAAAACACATTTTTCTTCCATGACAGAGGAAGGAGAAGGTTTCCTAATACACTCAAAGCCAGATGCTTTACAGGGGCAGATCTGGGAGGAGGGTGCATTGGTGCACCTGCCCTCCTCCCCCAGCTTTAATTCCTGCTCCATCCAAAGTTTAAAGCCAGCAGTGGCAGGGGCATTTCTATTCCGGCAGCTTCTGTGTGATGATGCACCTATGCCCTGCCTTCCCCAATTTTGCAAAATCCTAGATCCACCCACAATGCTATACTGTCCATTTAAAAGGAAAACAAACACTAAACATGACTTCATTGGAATGTGCCCTCATTTGCTAGCTCATATATTAAGTTTAAAAAACCAGCAACTTAGCAACTCCAGGCAACGAGAGTCCAAAGATGTTTCATTTGCCCTGGAGTCATTCCAGTTATGGGTGCTTCTCATTCAGATTCATAAACCAAAATCATAGAAATCATAGATAATGAGGGTGTGACCCCAGGAGGTCACATCTAGTCCAACCCCCTGCTCCAAGCAGGACCAGCTCCAACTACATCATCCCAGCCAGGGCTTTGTCTACCCGGGTCTTCAAAGATGGAGACCCCACCGCCTCTCTGGGGATCCTGTTTCAGTGCTTCACCACCCTCCTCATGAGAAAGTTTTTCCTAACATCCAACCTCAACTTGCCTTGCTGCAGCTTGAGCCCATTGCTCCTTGTCCTGTCATCTGCCCCCACTGAGACCAGTCCAGCTCCATCCTCTTTGCAGCCCCCCTGCAGGGAGGTGAAGGCTGCTATCCAATCCTCCCTCTGTCTTCCCTTCCTTAGACTAAACAAGCCCAGTTCCCTCAGCCTCTCCTCATCTGCCATGTTCCTCAGCCCCCAAAACATTTTCATTGTCCTCTGCTGGACTCTCCAATCCAGAGCCTTCTTGAGCATCTGGACTGTGCATCTGACACTTCCATACAAATAATTTCCACCCCTGCATTCAGGCTCCCATGCGCTCACGTGACCACACCCGAATTAAGATGTTCAGCTAGGACTAAAAACAGTCCACAGGGCTGGGAAACAGAAGAGACGTTCCCAGGAATGGTGGACGAATGGCAACAGAAGAAAGGGTAGTTTGAATTGGGGGAACATCCAGACCATTAGAAGGGAGAGAGGGTCATTCACACCTGTGGAGCAGAGAGATTAGCAGGAATTGGGGAGATGACAACGAGCTGTGAAGTCAATGGATTCCCTCACCGCTGCCTGGATAGAAATGCCGCTGCCTCTGCCAGGCCGTTGTGTTTAATTTTTGGGCGGAGCAGGAAGCAAAGGGGGGCATGACTGCCCCACTGCCCCCAATCAGATCCACCCCTGGCCTGGACCAATTAGCCATCTGCGCGGCTAGGCTCGGAGGGGAACAATGTCCTCACCCCCTGCATACCCAGCTGGACTCCCTCCCTGGTGGTGACCATGTGGGTCATTGCTCCTTCTCTTCCTCATTAGCAAGGATTGTCTTTTGCTTGATGACCCACAAGAAGACCATGGAAGACCTGAGGAAACCCCACCATAATGTATCACCTATAACACGCACCTTCCCCTGAAAACCCAGCTGGGGAAGAGTGGGGTGGACCTTATACATGAGAAAAAAAAGGGATCCCCACTGGTCTGGAAATGTGTGTTGGGGGAGTCATGGCTCTGGGCAATGACCACCCCCTGATACCGCATACCCAGACCTGTGGGGAGCCCCCGGGGGGCTGGTACCAGACATCCAGCTGCTGCAACTTAGGTACCACAAAGGACAATTTTCCCCCTCCTCCCGTAACTATTCAGGCTGCCCGTCCATGCCAAGGGGCGCGCTATAAGCAGAAAGTTATGGTACTCTCCTAGCACAGCTTAATCCAGATGCTGCGGGGATGAGGAGCACAGCACAGACGGGCCCTGGCCTAAAGCTTCATTTAAACTCCCATGAAACCACTTTTCCACCCAGAAAGCCGGGGGAGGAAGGCGGTGGGGGCAGGGTTGGGGATTAAATCCTGCTCTACCAAGAGGCTCATTAAAAGCACCTCTTCCACCCAGTCCCTCCCAGTGTGCCCGCGGGTCCAGAACTGGTGCACGCTGGGCGGTTCCTTATTGCTAGGCGATCTGGCTGCACTGCCTGACGTCAGCCGTGGAGGAGCTCCAGCCCAGGGGCCAGCCCCATCCCACCCTCCGCACGGCGTGCTCCTAGCCTGGGTACGGCGTCCCCCACCGTGTGCCCTGGTTCCCCGGAAAACGGGGCCCTGCTCCAGCCTAAACATGACTTCATTGGAATGTGCCCTCATTTGCTAGCTCATATATTAAGTTTAAAAAACCAGCAACTTAGCAACTCCAGGCAACGAGAGTCCAAAGATGTTTCATTTGCCCTGGAGTCATTCCAGTTATGGGTGCTTCTCATTCAGATTCATAAACCAAAATCATAGAAATCATAGATAATGAGGGTGTGACCCCAGGAGGTCACATCTAGTCCAACCCCCTGCTCCAAGCAGGACCAGCTCCAACTACATCATCCCAGCCAGGGCTTTGTCTACCCGGGTCTTCAAAGATGGAGACCCCACCGCCTCTCTGGGGATCCTGTTTCAGTGCTTCACCACCCTCCTCATGAGAAAGTTTTTCCTAACATCCAACCTCAACTTGCCTTGCTGCAGCTTGAGCCCATTGCTCCTTGTCCTGTCATCTGCCCCCACTGAGACCAGTCCAGCTCCATCCTCTTTGCAGCCCCCCTGCAGGGAGGTGAAGGCTGCTATCCAATCCTCCCTCTGTCTTCCCTTCCTTAGACTAAACAAGCCCAGTTCCCTCAGCCTCTCCTCATCTGCCATGTTCCTCAGCCCCCAAAACATTTTCATTGTCCTCTGCTGGACTCTCCAATCCAGAGCCTTCTTGAGCATCTGGACTGTGCATCTGACACTTCCATACAAATAATTTCCACCCCTGCATTCAGGCTCCCATGCGCTCACGTGACCACACCCGAATTAAGATGTTCAGCTAGGACTAAAAACAGTCCACAGGGCTGGGAAACAGAAGAGACGTTCCCAGGAATGGTGGACGAATGGCAACAGAAGAAAGGGTAGTTTGAATTGGGGGAACATCCAGACCATTAGAAGGGAGAGAGGGTCATTCACACCTGTGGAGCAGAGAGATTAGCAGGAATTGGGGAGATGACAACGAGCTGTGAAGTCAATGGATTCCCTCACCGCTGCCTGGATAGAAATGCCGCTGCCTCTGCCAGGCCGTTGTGTTTAATTTTTGGGCGGAGCAGGAAGCAAAGGGGGGCATGACTGCCCCACTGCCCCCAATCAGATCCACCCCTGGCCTGGACCAATTAGCCATCTGCGCGGCTAGGCTCGGAGGGGAACAATGTCCTCACCCCCTGCATACCCAGCTGGACTCCCTCCCTGGTGGTGACCATGTGGGTCATTGCTCCTTCTCTTCCTCATTAGCAAGGATTGTCTTTTGCTTGATGACCCACAAGAAGACCATGGAAGACCTGAGGAAACCCCACCATAATGTATCACCTATAACACGCACCTTCCCCTGAAAACCCAGCTGGGGAAGAGTGGGGTGGACCTTATACATGAGAAAAAAAAGGGATCCCCACTGGTCTGGAAATGTGTGTTGGGGGAGTCATGGCTCTGGGCAATGACCACCCCCTGATACCGCATACCCAGACCTGTGGGGAGCCCCCGGGGGGCTGGTACCAGACATCCAGCTGCTGCAACTTAGGTACCACAAAGGACAATTTTCCCCCTCCTCCCGTAACTATTCAGGCTGCCCGTCCA